ATTTATTTATTTTTGGCTGCGTTGGGTCTTTGTTGCCGCACGCGGGCTTTCTCTAGTTGTGGCGAGCAGGGACTCCTCTGTCTTAGTGTGCGGGCTTCTCATTGCGGTGGCTTCTCTTGTTGCGGAACACGGGCTCTAGGCGTGTGGGCTTCAGTCGTTGTTGCACACGGGTTCAGTAGTTGTGGCTCGCGGGCTCTAGATCACAGGCTCAGCAGTTGTGGCACACGGGCTTAGTTGCTCCGTGGCATGTGGGATCTTCCTGGATCAGGGATCGAACCCGTGTCCCCTGCATTGGCAGGCGGAGTCTTAACCACTGCGCCACCAGGGAAGTCCAAGGTCTGTTTCTTAACAGGAGCAATGAAGCTGAATCTCCTCCCACTTCTACCTTTGGTTAATGCAACCTCCTGAGTGCTGGTTTGTCCTTATCCTGGTCCAGCTAGCTGCATTTTTGTTTTCTTAATACAGTGGCCAATACCCTTCCACAACCTAAAATATTAGAGCTGGACAAGAATTTAAAGACGGCTTTGGTTTAGGGACAGAGAGGTTAGGTGACTTGTTCAAGGTCACACGTAGATTCATAATACTCCACGCATTTAACAAATGGATACTGAGGGCTTACTATGTGCTTGCCACAGGGTAGGTTCTGGGAATAAAAGAATGAACAAGACCACGTCCCAGACCTTAGGATGTGGGCAGTGCCAACACTGTATACAAGGCATTAAGAAAACCAGACGTAGGTCTCCTGGCATTTCCCTCCTTGTATTCTACTCTAGGTTAATTTCAATCTTAAAGCCACTCTCAAAGAAATGGGGTCTTCTAGATACTCTTTAAAATACAATAATAAAGGGCTTCCCTGGTGGCGCAGTGGTTGAGAGTCCACCTGCCGATGAAGGGGACACGGGTTCGTGCCCCGGTCCGGGAAGATCCCACATGCCGTGGAGCGGCTGGGCCCGTGAGCCATGGCCGCTGAGCCTGTGCGTCCGGAGCCTGTGCTCCGCAGCGGGGGAGGCCACAACAGTGAGAGGCCCGCGTACCGCAAAAAAAAAATACAATAATAAAAACAGATATATTTCTTTTGACAGTACATTTATAATTATTTTAATACTCACTAGAGATTGAAGTTTCCTTCGCCTGTAGACAGGCTGAGCAAGATTCATTTTCCTGACTTTAAAAGATGAACAAACAGAAGTACAGGGTCACATAACTTTCTGACATCGGCACTCTTCCCCTCAACCAGGGATTCCAGGCTCAGAAATGCCTTCACCTCGTGTCCTGAGTCATGTTCTCCCAGGAAACACAGGGAGAGGAATGAGAAAAGGAGGCATGGAAATGATAGAAGCCCCAGGATCTCTCCTAAAGCCAGTTACCTCTGTGGGCAGCTGGAGCTCAGTCCCGCTGGGGAAGAGTGGGAGACGGGGTAGAACATTCCTCTGGCAACTGTCTTGTTAATGCCCCAGCTCCTTCACTGGTTGAGTGCCACGTCCGGGAGCACTGACACCTCAGCGCTGTGAGCTTGCCCTGTGTGCAGCAGAGCCTCCCTGGTCAGAACAAAAGGCCTCCAGTGACAGATGGCTGCAGGCGCAGTATAGAGGTCAGAGCCAAGGGCATGGACAGCGGTGTCCTACCTACTTTCTTCAAAGCCCCAGGGTGGCTGCAGGGTGGCGGCCACAGCTAGGGCGTGGAAATGCTGATTCTGCACGGTTCTGCGCTTGCTGTGAGGCGGGGCGTGTCCATGGTCCTGAATCGCCGGTTCCTGCTTTAGCGTGCTTCTTCTTTTGACTGTGGTGCACGGCTAACTCCTATTTACCCTCTCCCAGGATGCACATTTCTGGTTTGCATTTTCTCTCTTGATTAACGTTTTGCGATTTTTATGTTAGCTTTGGCCACAAAGGAACCATGACTTCTGCTTTGCGATCTATGATTTGCATAGCCACTGGTAGGGTGTGCTTTTAAAGCACCTCAGCCCTTTCTCCAGAGGTATTTTATCCTTCTTGGGAAATTTAGAGAGGGTGTGCTTCCCTTATCTTTTGTGACTGCCCTCCCCACTAAGTGCTTACTAAGCCGGGGCTCTCCCAAACACTGCCCCCGTCACAGGGGCCAAGCGAAAAAGCACTTTATGGTCTCTGGTATCCTGGAGCCCTCTCTGCTTCTGTGGAAGCCAAATGAGTCATCCTTCCACACCCTTTTTTCTTTTTACTTGGTGTAGAAGTATCTGTAGTTTGCAGTGTCACAGTTTATCAACGTGGAATCCTCTGTGGGGCTTGCAGACCCTAAACAGTCTTGTACTCCCCAGATGACTCACACAGACACAGGAGGAGAAAGAAGAAAGTGAACGGGGAGAGAAGCAACAGAGGAGCCTACATACCCTCCCACCTTTCTTCTTTTTCATGCTTTATTTCTCTCCATAGTGCTTTCCACCTTCTAGCCTACGAAATAGTTTGCTTTTTTAGGATATTTTAATGCGTTCCTCCCTGTTCCACTAGAACATAAGCTCCAAGAGGGCAGGGTTTGGGTTTTGTTTTGTTCACTGCATTGTCCCAACGTAGACAAGAGTAGCTGGCACAGAGTAGGCACTAAATGGATGCTTGTTGAATGAATGAAGGCTTCCATGCGACCCCTGTGGTCCTTTCAGGTCGACTACTGAAGGCAGAGGTTAGGAGGGAGAGAGGGGGGAGGTGAGGAAGAAAGGAAGGGAGGGAAGGAGGGAGAGAAGAAGCAAATAAGGAATTTGACAGCACATTTTCTTTGGCAGCGCAGTTCGTAAATGTTGTTTCATCTGATCTTCTCATCACCCTGAAAGGCAGGAGCAATTGCTTTCTCTCTGTAGCTAGGAGACTTGGGGCTTGGCTCTCTCAGAATAGACCCTGACAGCTCTGCTGAGCAAGTATAGCCAACTTGCCATTAAAAACCACAAAATCAGCTTGAAACCCCACTTTAGTCTTTTACTAACCAGGAGAACTTGGTCAAGTCACTTGTCTCTCTTAAGTCGCTGTTTCCAAATGGGAGTCATCCTACTAAGAGCACTGTGGTGAGAATAAATGAGATCACATAGCAGAAGTACTCAGTACGTCGTAAATGATCAGTCTCGTCCCTGTCACCCCTCTCCAACTTCCAAATCCCGGAGCCTCCCATGTGATTCCAGTCTTCGTTGTCAACACCTTTCAAGAATAACGGGGAAGAGGAGAGTTTGGTTGAGAGATCCAAGTTTCAGGTCCATCTCTGATTGTCTTGGGGAGGTTTGGGGCAGGCTGTGCATCGATAATATATGACCTGGCAGTGAAAAGCCTGACTCCCCGTGTGTTACTTTTATGTGTAACGTTCCCCATCAGGCCAGCTTCCCGATGGCAATCAGCACGTCTGTTGGATCTGGCACGGGCTACGGGGGACGTGCTCATCTCTCAGCCGCTTTGGCAAAGCTTCACTGAATACTGGGGCCTGAAAAGAAAATCAAGCCTTCAGATACCACAACGCTCTTACTTCCAGGCATAGGGGGGGCTAGGACAACTACAGGGGTACAGGGCTCAGAGAGGGAGCGTCAGCTAGAGGTCACACAGCACACTGATCCCAGAGGTCGGAGGTGATTCTGATAGGAGCTTGCTCTGCCAGCTAAGAGGGGGCAAGGGCCTTCATCTCTGGGCTCGAATGTCCATGGCAAAGGAGGGAGGATGGACTGAAGGATTATGGAGTTCTCTTTTCTATGCAGTATAAGAGGTTTCAGAATCAAGAGTTAAGAGCCTTGAATTTTAATGCACTGTCGACATGGGGTACGTCACTCCCCAAGTTGCATCTCCCTTTTTTTTGTGTGGCAGCTCTTTCTCTCCCTAGGTTCCTCAGTTGTAAGTGGAAGGGTCTGGAATTATATGTGAAAGATCCTCTGGTTCTTCAAGTTGGCTTCAGTCCAGGCAGTGCCTGAATTGGGCTATCAGAGACCACGCTCCGCACCCCACCCCCCCCCCCCCCCCCCCCCCCCAACCCTGCCTGCCTGTGTCCTCCAGGCAACAACAGTCTCCTGACCTGCATGGAGGACGGGCTGTGGTCCTTCCCAGAGGCCCTGTGCGAGCTCCTGTGCCTGGCCCCACCCCCAGTGCCCAACGCAGACCTCCAGACGGCCCGCTGCCGGGAGAACAAGCACAAGGTGGGCTCTTTCTGCAAGTACAAGTGCAGACCTGGATACCACGTGCCCGGCTCCTCCCGGAAGTCAAAGAAGTAAGTGGGGCTGCAAAGGCAAACTCACACGTGCTTGGGGGGAGGAGAGCCAGGTCTGCCTGTCTGGTTAGAAGGAAGTGCTCACTTCTCTGCTAGAGACGGTACCCACCATTCCTCGCATTCTCTTTGGTGGGAATCTAGAAGGATATTGTTAACAGCTGCCTGCCGGCTGTGTGCCCTCAGGCAACTGACTTCACTTCTCTGGGCCTCTACTTTTCAGCAATAAGATGGGGATGATAATAACAGTTACCACATAAGATTGCTGTGAAAAATGAATGAGGATGTATACGTAAAGTGCTTGCAAAGTGCCTGGTATATAGTAAATGGTGGGTACTGATACCATCCTTGCGCCAGGATCCATCAGAGGAGATGGGCCAGCAGGGCTTGAATTTTATTTCAGTCCGCAGGTAACTCTTGCTTGGCCCTGGGAAAGGAACGTTTACCTTAACCCCTACCACCCAACAGGACAGGCAGGGAATCAGGAAGGGGAAAGGGAGACGTGGGGCTAGCCAGCTCCAGAGAAACGTGGGTGCAGAGCGTGGCTCCAGCCATTTGGTCCTTGAGATGTCTCTTCTTTTATCTCTTCCTTGAAGACGGGCCTTCAAGACCCAGTGCACCCAAGATGGCAGCTGGCAGGAGGGGGCTTGTGTTCCGGTGACTTGTGACCCTCCTCCACCGAAATTCCACGGGCTCTACCAGTGCACTAATGGCTTCCAGTTCAACAGCGAGTGCAGGGTCAAGTGTGAAGACGGCGATGCCACCCAGGTGAGACTCCTTGAACTTGAGGTCTATACTTAGGTCCCGCTCCTCTCTGCTTACCAAAGAGCGGCCAGTGTTTTAAGAACCACGTCCTCGGGCTTCCCTGGTGGCGCAGTGGTTGAGAGTCCGCTTGCCGATGCAGGGGACACGGGTTTGTGCCCCGGTCTGGGAAGATCCCACATGCCGCGGAGCGGCTGGGCCCGTGAGCCATGGCCGCTGGGCCTGCGCGTCCGGAGCCTGTGCTCCGCAACGGGAGAGGCCTCAACAGTGAGAGGCCCGCGTACCGCAAATTAAAAAAAAACAAACAGGGCTTCCCTGGTGGCGCAGTGGCTGGGAGTCCGCCTGCCGATGCAGGGGACGCGGGTTCGCGTCCCGGTCCGGGAAGGTCCCACATGCCGCGGAGCGGCTGGGCCAGTGAGCCATGGCCGCTGAGCCTGCGCGTCCGGAGCCTGTCCGCAACGGGAGAGGCCACAACAGTGAGAGGCCCGCATACCGCATAAAAAACAAACAAACAAACAAACAAAAAAAACACGTCCTCTAGGAGACTCTCTACGGATGCCAGAACCGTATAATAGCAACATCAGCAACGCAGATGTAAGGAGCTGGGTTCTCGCCATCTTGCTTTGTAATCTCTCTGAGCCTCGTTGTCCTCCCTGTATCTCTGCATTTTACTGGTTCAGAGATTCTTAGCTCTGAACCCCTATGAAAGAAATCACGTGTGGAATCCCAGTGTATGAAGTCGATCCGAGTTAAGGAATGACCAAGGGCTGTTTGGCCAACTTTCTACCACCATCACCACTTACGTTGGTCCCTGAAATACTTAAAATCATGACTTTCACTGTCTTGAGACATGAGCTGGCTCCTCAAGCATAAAGAGAAAGGGAACCATATTTAGACTAGATGTACAGTTTTGAGAATACTATGGAAGAAGGAAGGACAGGACGTTGGTCCCTGAAATACTTAAAATCATGACTTTCACTGTCTTGAGACATGAGCTGGCTCCTCAAGCATAAAGAGAAAGGGAACCATATTTAGACTAGATGTACAGTTTTGAGAATACTATGGAAGAAGGAAGGACAGAGGGAGATGGAATTTTATCTCAATCCACATGTAACTGAGACAAAGTCCAACACTCCTGCCGGCCCTGCGGAAGGAGTTCTGTGAATGCATTTTCCTTCCTCCTGACACATACACCCCCACTCCACCCACTAAGACGGGTAGGGAATCAAGAGTGGGAAAGAGAATGACGAGCCAGCTGGCTCCAGAGAAGACCTAAGTCCACAAGGAGCTCCAACCCTGAGAGAACCAACCATTTAGGGTTGACACCTCAAGCCCCATGCCTCACAGGTGTGCAAGGCCAGGGTTCAGCCAACTGGGCCGCAGTGCAAGTTTCTCCCCCTGTCAGTCCTTAGTCTTTATTAGCATCTACCAAATACCAGACAGTGTCAAAGCGGCATCCTCACCTCATCTCACTCCCGCTCCCACCTCCAAATAGCCACCAAGTCCTACCCGTTCTCTCTCTCAGTCAGCTTCTGAACTGTTCTCACCTGGCTCCAGTGCCACCACCCTGACTCAGGCCACCAGCATCACTCTCCTGGGCCGCCATGCAGCTTCCTGACCATCTCCCTGCTCTCTCCTTGCCTCTCCAGTGTATTGTTCGCATTTCAGCCAGAGTGGTTTGTTTAGAGCACAAATGTGATCGTAACAGTTCCCCTGCTCAAAGCCCTTTGCGAACCAGCGACCCCCATCTCCCTTAGGATAAATCCCACCTGTGCATTCAGGACGTCTCCCCCATCACCAGTAAGACGGATCTCCCCTTCACCTGGGCATTCTCTGTGAAAAAGCCCCTGTCACCTTTTCCAGCCACCTCACTCCTAACCATCCTTCACCATTCAGCCCAGGTAGCCTCCTTCCAAGGACCTTTTCCTGACCCTTCCCCTGTGGGCTCCATGCCCCTCCTAGGGGTCCCCCCATTCACAGCATCGACCACGCTGCATTGTAATTCATTTCACCTCCCCCTTCCCCCCCCCCGCCAGGTTCTGAAACGCCTGACCACAGCTTTAATCTTCCCTATGTTTTCAGCACTTGGGATAGTGCCAAGCACCTAATAGGTGCTCAGGAAGTGACAGGGCATGAGAAAGAGCTGCAATGAACATCCAGGCCAGTCTCCTCGTTTTCCAGACAAGAAAGTCACTCACCCACCCAAGGTGACATAGCTGGTGTCGGCTGAGTCCGAATCGGAACCCAGGTCCCCCCCAACTGTGGACAGACTGAATCCAATAGGCAGCACCTGAAAAACCCAGGGATGTCTGTGCACCCAAGTCATTCCCATCCCCGGCTGCCAGGGAAGTGGAAGCCAGTGCCAAGAACAAGCAAAGGCCAGAGATTACCGTGGCCTCACGCAGCCGATCAACTTCCCTCTCTCTCCCTTACGTAAAACTGTTGCTAACAGTTACCAGAACTGCTGAGCCGAATAATATTCTGGCCGTGGTCACGTTAGCAAACCGAAACCCAGCCTGCCTGCGGCCTGCCAAGTACCTTTCATGGCCAGTTTGTATTTAAAGGAGAGGAAAATGTAAATTTATCAGACGACTCAAGCAGTTCTGTTTGGCAACTGGCAGAGAGGCCAGGCACAAAGGAGCAGAGGGTATTGCTTGCCGGCTAGAAGAATGAGGGAACGCATGCCAAATGGGCTCCTAATACAATTGACGTTTCTAGTTTGTACTGCAAATGAATTTCCTCTACCCTCAGACCAGGGGCCTGAGAGCCAAATCTAGTATTCACCTCAGATCCCCTCTTGCTGCCTGTAAGCACAGCTGAAACGCACGGCACGGAGTATCTTGAATCAAGCAGCTTGTATGGAGCGAGAATTCTTTGCTTTCCAAACAAGTTCCAGATCCTGGCGAGAGAGGACAGGGACCGTTGCAGGGGAGGTTCACATACTCCTTCCCACGGCCACTAAAAGTAAATTAGCAAATCAAACCTCGACTTCATTCATTCCTTGGGAGCCAGTATGACGCTGGATCTGGACTCTGAGTGTGAATCCTGGCTTCACCACTTGCTAGCTGGAGGACTTGGGCAAGTTGTTTAACTCTTTAAGCTTCAGTTTGCTCATTCATAAAATGGGGGAGGGGAAATAATACTACCTACCTTATAGTTTATTTGTGAGGGTTAAATGAGGTAATGAAAGTAAGGCATGCCTATGAGTAACCCCTGGAATCGTAGAGTGTACAACCTATGCCACCGTGCATGGCAGCCCTGGGGAAGGCACAAATGAACTAGCCTGCCGTTAAGGTCACTTCTAGTGGAGAGATGCCACATGCATCATGATGTGCCACGTGGGCTCTTACAGAACGTGGAAACAAAGGCAATGGCTTGAAAGTTAGCCCTCTGTCGGTAGCTAGCCCCAGAAAGTCAACCATCATGCGTGAGGCCAGGATATAGGTTGGGGAGACCAATAGGAACCATAGGAACCTGACCTCTAGCTCACATAAACCTGTAGAATTTATAGACTCTCTAGATGAGCGCTACCCTGTAGAACCTTCTGCTATGATGGAAGTGTTCCATGTCTGTGCTGTGCAATATGGTGGCCTCCAGCCACGTGTGGCTATGGACCGCTTGAAATACAGCTAAGTGACTGAACAGCTAAATGTTACATTTTACTTAATTTTAAATCATTCAAATTTAAATGTAAATAGCCACACTTGTATAGTGGCTACCATATTGAACAGTTCAGCTCTAGAATTTATAGTGTTATTATCCCTGTAAACCAAGACAGAGAACCTTAACAATAACAGCTTTTAAAAAAAAATTGTTTTAAGTGTTTCCTGACTGCCAAACTGAAGCCACAGATTTTCTCTCACTTTGACACCTCATCATAAACTTCTGAAAAAGAAGCGATATGCCCATTTTGCAGATAAGGGAAGAAAGCTTGTGAAGCCAAGCTCTTGCCCACTGTTATGAGTTAGTAGGTGGTGATGACTGGCTCCAGGGCCCTGCATTTCCCACTGTCTCCAGACATTTCCAGGGCAGGGAGTGGCAAAGGACAGGGATTCCATCTCCAGGCGACTGGAGAGAAGTGCTAATTGTCTGAGCATTTAATCTAACTCAGATGCCCCTGAGCTGTCCGAGGTGATAAAACAGCGAGAAGCACTGTGGGAGGCTTTGTAGGTGATTGGGGAGTGGGCTGTCTTGGGATGGGGACAGGGTCTGTGGGAGATGCATGCACAGGGGCTGCAGCAGGAGAGGAAGAAGCTAAAGGTGCTTTCGGAATGAAGTAATGCACTCAGTGGTGGACTTTAGCAACACAGCGGGAGCCAGAGAGGAAGGGTGGGAGTGGAGCCAGGAATGCACCCAGTTCTTTGCACGGATCACAGAGGAAGGTTGTAAAAGCCTTTCTGCCACTAGTGGTGTGCAGCTGGCCCTGCCTTTCTGGGTCTGCTCTGGACACAGCACAGCTCTCACATGTATAATGCCTCCCAGAGCAGGGGCAGCTTCTAGTTTCAGGGTTGTCACATGCTTGCCCGAGAACGCAGGGCTTCCCAGAGGAAGTCAGAGACATCCCAGGCCCATGTGATGTTGGAGGTGGGCCAGACCTCAGAGATTTTCTACTGCAACACACTTCCCTTATAGATGGGACCACTGGAGCCCAGAGAGGGGAAGCAACGTACCTCAAATCACACAGCAAGTTATTGATACCAGCAGAGTCAGATCTGACACAGAGTCTCAGATCTCCTAACCAAGTCGTTGCACAAGCCACATTTTCTGCCCATCCTTACTCCTGGAGCTGCATGTCACCCCTGAATCTCACTGGGAGGAAGCAAAATGCATGTAAGGCCATTGACTGGACACATAGGCAAAGAGTGAACAGCAGCTGTGATTTATTGAGCATTTACTACATTTCAGTCTGGGCTAAGTGCTTTACACAGACTACTTCATTTAAGCCCCACAGCATCTGGCATTACTGTCCCGTTTTGAAGATGAGGAAGATGTGGTTCAGTGAGGTAAAGTGGCTTGCCCACCTTATTCAACTAGGAAGTCCAGGTAGAACGGAGACTCCAGTTGCTAGGTCAGGCTGCCTCCAAAGCTTAACTGTTTATATCCTGCACTGCACCTTGCAGTTCTGCCTGGCTCTGATGTTGCCATGTTTCTCTCTGCCATTATTTTGTTTATTTTCATTTCTGCTAAGTAGAAAAAGTCTAGGTCTCCCTCTCCGCTCATCCCCCAGCCTCTCCTCTCCACCTCCCCTCCCCTGCCTTGTAGTAAAGCTCAGAGGCTTACAGGAAGAGGTCTGGCTCTGGCCCCGACGACCTGCGTGACTTGGGCCTGCTGCCTCCCTATTTTGGTGGCTGCCATTTCTAGAATGTGGGTGACGCTGGGGCTGATTCTGAAGTTCCCTTGGAGACAGTGCAACAGGGTGGTTAAGAGCTCAGCTAACCCTTAGAGAGCTTGATGTGTGCGTTAAGCTCTAAATGCTTCACGTAACCTAACTCACTTAATCCTCGTGGTGACTTTCTCAGGCCGTGAACTGCAGCCTTATTTAACAGTTGAGGAAACTGAGGCAGAGAGGAGTTAAGGAACTTCCCCAAGTCTACACAGTGGGAAAGTTGCAGAGATGGGATTTGAACCTGGTCAGCTGGCTTAAGTCCATACTCTTAACCATTACACCAATATCATTTAAAAACTCATCTTTCACTTCCTAGCTGAGCCTCAGTTTCCAAATCTGTAAAAGGGACATAATTTCTACACTACCTTGTTAAAAGCATTTTTAAATGTGCGTAAAACACTTGGCACATACTAGGCATTTGATACTACGTTATATGCCTGCGGCTCTTTGTGGACCTGTGTAGCTGAAGAGGGGTCGAGAGAGCACAATATGCTCTTTTACAGATGGATGCACAGGCACAGAGAGGCAAAATGCTTTGCTGAGGGATGCTCAGCCCCCCTGGTGAGAATTTTCACCCTGGCATGCAGCACTGTGTGTTTGGAGCCAAGTACACACAGTGGGTCCCCTGCCCGTGGTCTCTGGTCTTCCCAGATTGGGTCCTCAATGTCAGGTCATCTCTGAGCAAACTAGCCTCAACATTATGGATCTTACTCTGAGGGTCCGCATCGGTTGGTAGGCAGCCCTGAGTGCACCAAGATCTATTCCCAAAGGAGGATTCGAACATCTGGAGGGGCTCCAGGAGGTCTGCCGTGCAGAGGGCACAGTAGGGACAAAGGGATGGTGGTGGGAAGCAAGAGAAGTGTGCAGGAGAGACGGGTGACCCCAGACTAGCAGGAAGGACATGTGTGTAGCAAGAGATGGGGCTGGACATGTCGTCTGGGTTCCACTGTAGAAGCCCGCCCTGGACTGCCAGCCCTCAAGTAAGCCTTGTTTGGAAGCCCAGCCCAGAAGGATCCCGTCCTCTGTAAGGCCGATATAGTCAGCAGCAGCAGGTGCTCGATGACCTGGGCAGGAGGGAGAGAGTCAAGAGGTAGCAAGACCCATAGCTTTATGCTCCCACCTTCTATAGTGGAGCCTCCCCAGTCTGAAATTCCCTGAGCAGATTCCAGTCAGTTCTAATACATTCTCTGTTGCAAACCGAGCTCTCCAGCCAGCTCTGGCCCACATAGTGCTGAGGTCTGCAGCCCTTCAGGGGCTGGAGGCCAAATGCATCATAGGCCCAGGCCAAGGCTCCAGGAAATTGGGGTCAATTTCCTACTCCCATGAGGGCCCAGCCGAATCACGGGGCCTGGGGCTCTGGGAGGGAGAGTCGGGGTTCTCTGAAGCCACATGAAGCTGCCTACACTTTCCCTGAGCTCACATGGAACCTCTGGGTGGACTCGGCAATCATCCCACAGCTGCGTGCTCGGGATGGGCCACCCTTCTCGACGGCCACAGAGGCTTCCACCACAACTGGACCCTCCTCGTGCTGGTCCACGTGAGGCTCAGAGAGGGGCCCCCTTTCTCTCTAAATCCCCTCTCCTTGCAGCTGTATTCTCAGACAGGGGAGCTTCAGCCTGCATCAACCCTTTCCAAGAGTTTATTTTTTCATGTGTGCACTCATTCATTTATTTCCGTATTCGTTCATGTCTTCATTTACTCATATCTTGATTCATGCATTCATTTCTCTTCTTGTGTTTTAAACAAATTCCTTCCATAACTGTCACCTGTTGACTCCATATCTTGTTAAATGGTTCTCGAGTGAGCAAAAATACTGAGTGACGCGTGAATGGACCAAAGGCCAGGACCTATTAAGTGTTGTGGAAGGCCCTGGGGATGCAGGGATGACTAAGGAGCTCATCGTCTAGGAGGGAGCAGTGGGGATACAGAGGCAGTGGGTGTCAGAGACCTTCAGGTAGCGTTCTGTGCAGGACCGGGGTGGCGTTAGGACAGGATGGCTTGTGCCAGAAAAGGTCTGTGCCGGTGTTTGGGCGGGAGGGCAGGGGAGAGGGACAGAGCAGACAGGAGGAGAAGCACGGCCGTGTGGCACCTCACGGGGCGCCTTCAAGAATGCAGGCGACTGGTGGAGTTCAAGGTCAGCGGTGGTGCCGTGGGCAGCGGGGAGCTGGAGAATCAGGCAGAGTTAAGGCTCTGAGGGCTCTGGAGGCCAGACGCAGGGGCTTGAGTGGCAGCTGAAGGGCATGGGAGCCATTCCGCAGACATTTTCATTGGCGGAGCGTGGTCAGCTGCTCTGGCCTCACGTAGAGTTTCTCTTCTCATCCTAAACGTGAAAGAGGGAGACGCTATACAGCTTGTTCTCACACGGGAGGCCCCACTGTGCAGAGACTACCCGTGGTTCTCCAGTTCCAAGGGGTAGAGTCCAGACTCCATAAGTGGCCGTTTAAGGCTCCACACCTTACCTGCCGTACCAGCTCTTCCCGACTCCCTCCCTCTCGAACTTGCACGTGCCCTTTGGCCTTGCACAGGTGTCCTTCCCTCCCTGTTCTGCCTGATTCCACACAGAATCTTGAAAACTCTTTTCCGTATGTCACCTCCTCTCAGAGGCCTTCCCAGCTTGCCCCTCACATCCGGTTATTCTCGCCGGGTGCACACAGCGCAGTCACTGAGCACGGTCCTGAACCCAGAGTGGACACTAAGAAACGGTCTTTGGATTTAGGGGTGGTTCTGAAATTTCGACAAAGCTGGACACCTCCCATTAGAATCTTAGATGTGCAAAGCGGTTTGGAGGAAGGACGACGTCTGCAGGCTGCACTTGCCCGTGACTTTGCAGAAGATTGAGAAATGGGAAATGTTGCCTATTTTAAAGAATCAGAGGGGAGGGCGCAGATGGAAGTATCCCCCCCCGCCCCACCCTCTTGGTGCCATTATTGCTGGAATGGAATGGAGCGGAAGGGAGGACGGGAAGGGGAAGGAGAGGAGGGGATCCCTGGAAGAGAAAGCTCCTCAGCGGAGCCAAGGTCGCCTACTTAGCACGTGGCAGAGCCCTGGCCTGGGACGCTTTCTCATCGATTGAGAGGAAATGAGCCTTGGTGTATGCCTGTCTCCTTCCAAACAGCGCCAGGACCCATGTTTACTTACGGTACACCTTGGGGGTGCACGTGGGTCCCACCCTCTCAGTTAAAAACAAACGAACAAGCAGAACACATTTCTCCGATTGAAATCTCTGAAAGAGCACCACTGAGATTTAGGAAACCTGGGAGTTAAACTCTCCAGGACGCTTTGAGCAAGTTTGTTCCCACACTGAGTCCTCAGTTTCCCTGTCTGTAAAATGGAGATATTACGGTTCCTCTGTCTGAAGGTGGTTGGGTTTCCACCACTGTTAAGAACTTGTTTTTTTAACATTTTCAGAGCTCTGGGGAGATGCAACACTCAGAGGCTTCTTCTGTGGAGGGTGGGGTCTCTCTTGGTCCTGACTGTGCTTCTGTGGCGTTCAGGGGCACGGGAGCAACGTCATCCACTGCCGGAAAGATGGCACCTGGAGCGGCTCCTTCCACGTCTGCCAGGAGATGCAAGGCCAGTGCTCAGCCCCGGACCAGCTCAACAGCAACCTGAAGCTGCAGTGCCCTGCAGGCTATGCCATCGGTACGACGGGCGTGTCGGGTTGAGCAGTGGGAGGGCACGTCCTTCCAGGAGCTCCGGGCTCACGCCCTGCCGAGGACTTGGGCAGCCGTGCTATGTGAGACCTTGCATGAGGCACTGGGGAAATGAAGAGGAATGAGACCAGACCCTGTCCTCCCAGAGAGAGAGTTCAGGGCAGGGATGTTGGCAAAGCAGTGTTGGGTGAGCGTGCACAGTTCCACTGGAGTACAGAACAGCTGACCGGTGTCTCCGGGGACACAGAAGGCTCCCAGAGGAAGGGACGCTTATACAGGGATTTGCAAGAGCTTGTGGGGCAAGAAATGGCGCTCCAGGCAGAAGGAATCACGTGGCAAAGGGAGGGAGGGAGGGATGAAAACACGCGTCCTGTTTAGGGAAGCAGTCGTGGTCCAGCGTGGCAGCCTTTGTTATTAATCTTAAAGTTTATGTAATGCTGGTCATTCGGAGTACCGACTGTGGGTCAGTGCCGCACCAAGCCCTTCAGAGGCATTATCTCGTTTCCTCTCAGTAACCTTTAACAGATGAGGAAATTGAGACTCAAAGGGATCTTTGCCACCTCTCCTTCCCCAAAGCCTGAGTCCTTTCCACGGCATTCCAGTTGCCTCCTAAATAAGGATGAATAGTGTTTTCAGAATACTATTTGCGTGGTGATAGACCAGCTTGCCAAGTGAAGGGAGACAACCTGGGGTTTGATGCCAGGAGTTTGTCTGGTTGAAAGCAGGTGTCTGGACAGACGCGTTAATCACAGGCCTGCGGCTTTCTGGGGAGCTGGGTGTGCATTGAGTCTAATCTCAGTTGAGGGCAGTGATACTGATGACCTCTTGGGCTGATTCCCTAATTGACCACGATGAAAAGCCCAGGGAATTGGATGTCCTTTCTCATGGCCAGTCCTGGGACAATCACCAGGGATGTCTGGAGCAGAAGGTTATCTGTGCAGGCACTCACTCCCAGCCACACAGAGTCAATGTGTTCCTCACCTAGTAAAACGAGTTACCGTTTCATGTCCAGAAGGGAGGCCCGTGGCTGGAGAGCAGAGGCGTAAGGGGGCCTGACCACTTCCTTTTAAAGATGGAAAAATGTAGCCTCCAAGTGCAGAGGTTCTTCACCTGAACTCAGAGTAGGGATCAACCCTCCTGTGTCAGTCCAGGACGGGTCAGAAAACACCCACGGACATGGTTCTGTCCCTGCTGATTCCAGAGGTACTTTAAGATCTTGCCGAGCCACCGATCCAAAGGACCCTGACCAGGAGGGTTGCAGAGAGGTGGGATTTATAGGGCCTGCCACTACAAGCTTTCTAGAGAGTTGGGGCAACAGGTGTAGCAATGGCAAGTAGCTTTGGCTCTTCCATCCCAAGGCCAAGGCTTTCTCCTCTCCATTATCCCTGAGGGGTGTTCATGGCTCTGGACACTTCTGTCTGTGATGGGGTCCCTGTCCCCAGCTCAGTCAGGGCATGCGCGTGAATAGTCAGTCACACTCACGGCTGGCCTTGAGCAACCCTGGGAGAAAAAATTCTGTTGAAAAACAGACCTCCTGCATGTCTGCATCCACCGACACGTTCAAGCACATATATTCATATACGCACAGATACTTAACCAGATGCACACACACACGTCATGTGGTGAGCCCATGCCTAGCACGTACACTTCAGCGAGACGCCACACACATTCGCCACCCATAAACCTGCGTGTAGCTCGCACACACATACACTAACACACCTCGTGGCCCCTTTGAACCTGTATTGTGTGTACCTGTCACAGGCACGCGAAAGTGAGCCAGAATGCCTGGCTCTCTGCTGGCCCACAGAATGGTCAGGAGGGAGGGGGAGGGGTGACGGTAGCATTTGCTTTACCCGCTGAGCTTCTTCATGGTCAGAGCAGAAAGGGAAAGCAAGCTGTCTGACATCGGAACCTGAATCTCCTTCCCTTCCTCATGCTCCCACGGCCATGCAGATGCCAGTTTTATGAATACGGTGACCCGGGATGGGCGGTGGGCGGGTAAGGGCACACAGGGAGAGCTGAGAGAGTAAAAGCGGCCTGGGGCACTGAGGGGGTGGCCGGAGGACGGAGGGGAGAGGCTTCTCTCCCCCACCCCCCAGGCTGCTCTCCCTCCTACCGCATTCTGAGCTCCTCCCTGGACAGAGCCCACCTCACCAAGGAGAGAGACTCGACCAAAGGCCTGGTAAGCAGGGCACAGGTGACGTACGTGTCCAGCTCGGTGGCTGGGGCCCACGTGCTGGGGCCACCCAGAGCAGCTCTTCCAGGGTCCCTCCCCAAGCAGCCTGGGGAGGCTTCTGTGGCAGTGAGGGGTCCTCAGAAAGTTGTTACTGCCACCAAGGCCGCTGCCACCGTCCCTGCTCCTCCCGGGAAGGGGAGGCGGGGGCCGCTGAGATCACCATTCTGTAGTGATGCCGATTAGGGCTCATGTATCACAACACAGCAGCCTGGTCCTGAGGCCCAGAGCCGCGGCATGGGGGAGGGAAGTGCCGAGGGGGAGGTACGGGGAAAGAGAAATTAAGATGTGGCTCCTGCGTAAGGCGGCGGTGGCCTCCTGTGTTGACCAGTTTTTTCCCCCCTTTTGGGATAAATAACCGTTGTCTACTTCTCAGAGGCTGCATCTTCTTTTCTCGAAAGGATTTTATCATCGCAGCCTGGTTTCATTCTTGCTCCCTAAAATCTTCAGAACGGATCTCGTGACAGACACACACCACTGAGTGTCTCTGACTGCTTGGGGATCCCTCTTCTTCTCGTCACTCACCTTTTTTGTCTTTTTGTGTGTCCCCCGTTTCTTTTCTTTCTTCTGACTCTTCACCCCTCTCTGTCCCCTTCCACTGCTGCCTTCTTTTCTCTTCCCTCTGTGTCTCCGCCGTATCCATCGCTGGGCTTGGAATTCAGAGAGGCACGGGCTTTCATTCACGGCCCCCTACTCGCCAGCTCTGCGACCGGAGCTCGCACACTGCACGCTGTCGCCTCCGAGACGGATGCGATGACACTGGGTGTGCAGGGGAACGAGTGACGGGTGAAAAACACCTGGCAGGACCGGGAATATCCCCATCCCCACCTTCTGGGCTCAGTGGCCCCATGTTTAAATTAAAGAGGTTCCAGAGATTGTCCTGGACCCGCCACCCCACCCTTGCTACCTCTTCCGATTCTGTGAGTTCTGTGAGTCTCTTAGGTTGAAGAGGGTGACAAGGTAGGTGGCAACAGGAAGGGCACTGGATAAACTATATATACATATACAAGTGTCTATGTACGTCTAGCTGCATGTATGCATAAACATATATACATACTGTGTGTACACACACACACACACACACACACGTTTGCAGGGAGCCTTTAGAATGGCTCACAGCATAGGATGTTTTTCAAGAGAGTTGACTCTTGTAAACCTTTTAGTGTTCAAGGGTGGTCTTGGCCCTAAGGCAGGGGAATGACCTCCTTAGGGCCCTGGTCAGATTCTGACACAACAGTTCTTTGTCCATGTGAATGAGCACTTTTTTGGGAGTCCTGGGGACATCCCATGGGATGAGCTTGATTTTTGGGAGACTTCAGAATCAGTGAGGTCAGGACAGAGAATGTATGAGTCAAATTACAGCCATCTTGCTAACCCATAGCTTGAAAGTCAGCTGAAGAAGTCCCTGGACCAAGGGCTTCTGTGTACTAACCCTGGCCCTGTTGGTCATGGCGCCTTCACCGACTCACTGCCTGATTCGTGTTTTCATCCCTTTATCCACTTACTCAGTCATTTATTCATTCACTCATCCATCTAGGTACCCACTTCCTCCACCACGAGATGCCTCATTCATCATTCACTCATTGTGCCAGTCATCCATTCATTCATTCACTCTCTCTCATTTCCTCAACCACCTATGCACCCGTTCACTCTTGTCCCTTTCACTCACTTCACAGATACTCACTGAGTGCCTGCCATCTGCCACGCACAGTGCCAGGCTCTGGGCATAGAAGGGGGAGCGCGGGCAGTGCTGGCCTCGTGGAGTTACAGTCGAGCAGGGAAGAGAGCTGTTGGTACAACAGACACCAAGCCAATGTGACAAATCTGTGCTGGGTGCCAGTGAGAGGGTTTGGCCCGTCAGGAATGGAGGTTTTCTCCGAGCAAGCGACACGTGGATTGAGGTCTGAAGGGTCATTAACTGGTCATACGCTAGTGGAAGAGGGGCAGGGATGGTCTTGAGGGCACAGAGGGCGCGAATGCAGGCGGTGTGGGAGGAGAAGTATGGGGCTGAGACGTCGACGTTGCATTGACAGGCTCACCATTCATTTGGTTGACGCCTGCTGAGCAGACCCCTGTGTGTCAGGCACTGGGTTAGGCTCAGAGAGGAACTGATCCCATCCCTGCCCTCCCAGGGCATCCCTGTTACTGGGAAAAGGAGGGAAAGGGGGTAAGCCCAACACCGGAGTGAGATTCCTCAGTGCCAAACTCTGCTCTCACTCAGCTGCAGAAATCAGGGCAGGCTTCTTGGAGGATTTGAGCTGGACTTTGAAGAACTGGTAGGATTTGACCGTGCAAAGGCAGATCAGGGGGACGATTCAGGAGACAGGATGGACAGGAACAGAAGTACAGAGACGAGGAAGTGTGGGACTCCCATGCAAAACCGAGCACAGTCCGGTTAGTGGGAGGGTGTGAAGATGGTTAGTGGGAGATAAGGTTGACCAGACCGTGGGAGGGCATGGGTGCCGAGCAGAGGGATCTGGACTTTGTCCTGGATGTGGGGAACCTTCGAAAGGTTTCTGAGCAGAGGAGGAGCAGGACCAACCTGGGCTGAGGGCTGCTGACCGTGGTGGTGCGCGCCAGCTGGACTGGAGACGAGAGAACGGTCAGGGAGACCAGAGGTGGCGCTGCTGGGGCGTTCACTCCTGCCCACTGCCCTTGAGGGTGGGCATCCCCACTCACTGGGGACCAGGGAGTGGCAGGGTCCACTCTGGGGGTGGGGCAGCCCCTGGCATCAGGAGACGGGGGCTGAGCCACCACCTCACTCTCGGCTTCCCCTCAGGGTCGGAGTGTGCCACCTCGTGCCTGGACCACAACAGCGAGTCCATCATCCTGCCAGTGAACGTGACCGTCCGTGACATCCCCCACTGGCTGAACCCCACGCGGGTGGAGGTGAGTGACTGGGGCCACCCACCTGCGGCTCAGGGAGGGAAATGACCTTGTTGACCACTTATACGCTCTGGTCCTGCATTAGTCCCTCTACATACGTGAAAGCATCTAACGGTCACATCTGCTCTGTGGAGTGAAGACTTGTTCACCATCATTTTTCCAGCCCTCGAGTGTTTAATACCTTCCCTCTGCCAGGCCCTGTGCTATGGATCTTTTATGTATTGTCCCGCTGAATCCTGATGACAGCCTAGGAGTTAGAGGACTAATGTGCCTAGTGTACAGATTAGGAAACTGAGGCCCCAAGAACACCTGGGTAGAAAGAGCAGAGTCAGGTCACAGACCTGTGTCTGCCTGACTGGAGCGTCCTCACTGGTCAGGACGGTGCTCTTGGCTTCTCTAATATAAGCTCTGGGATATTCCATAGCCTAGGCTTCTGGTATCTTTCTCGTGCCTTGCTTATTTGGTGGAAAGCAATTAATATGTGATACGGGGAACTAGTAACACCAATTGTGTACGAAGCACCTACCGTGTTTGTGCACCCGGAGCTTAGCATACGAGGTCTGAACGAGGTTCAGACCCCCACTGGTCTCCCAGGATGGTTATGTGGAGTGAGGGCCACTGTCTGCATTCTCCCCTTGTGGACACTGAGACCTCAGGAGCGGGCGATGGCCCAGGGTGAGGGCTCGACCCCAAGCCTGCATCCAAGGGCTGTGCTCTTCCCACGGTCAGGCTGCTGGAAGGCCATGTTCACACTGGCGCTGGCCGCTCCCACATTCCTGGGTGTCACCCGATCACTCGCGACCCCACTCTTGTCCTCCGGGGCAGCACGATCCCAGGCCTCATGTGCCAGCTCTGGGCACTGGCCCCTCACGCTGGAGGAAGTGAGAGAGGCAGGGCTGCAGGGCGGGTTCAGCCTTTCCGCCGGGGCGCTGGAGGCCTTGCCGTCTGCCCGCCCGCTGCAAAACCCGAGGCCGGGTGCACTGTTTCCCCGATGAGCCGAGAGCACGGCTGTGAGGGCTTACGCAGCACTCTGCACCTGTGGGCCTGGCCCTGGGCCTGGCCAGCAGCTCCCTGCGCCCCCGTGCGCCCCAGGGCTCTCCACCCCTCCTTCCTCGTCCTCCCCGCTCCCGCTCTCTGCCCATCTCCAGCTTCATTTCTTCTCCTGCCTCTTTCTTCACGCTCTTTCTCTCCCTTCTCCTGATACCTCTGTGACCTGGCTCTGCCTCCCTCCTGCCCACGTTCTTTCCCTCCATCCCCACTGTTCTCTCCATCTCTCTCTGTCCGTCTCTCTGCCTGACTCTCCCGGACCTGCACGAGCGCACCCTGCGCACCCTGCTTCCCTCACCTCACCGAGCACCCCATGTACTCTGATGGGCTGTACACGCCCAGGCGCACGCACAAAGGCTGTATGTCAGAGTCTCAAGGAAGTTGGAGATCATCAGATACACGCCCCTCATTGTACAGATGGAGAAACTGAGGCTCAGAGAGGGAGAGGACTGGGCCAGGTCACCCCAGGAAGCAGAGGCAGGATCTTGACCGGGAGCTCCTTGCACTCCATCCCGCCCTGCCTCTACTCCACCCTGACTTCCACCCAGCAAAGACAGGGACCTACACTCTACACAGAGCACAAGAGACCTCACTCATATCCCACGTGCCTGGGACCCACACTGGGTTCCCCGACCCGTCTCCCCCTCAGGCCTTTTCTCGCTGCACCCGGGTGAATTCCCACCCTTCCCTCTGTGAGCCCCAGGCACTAAAGAGTTCAGTTATAATTCACTGTGAAACAAATCTAGGGATTTGAAAGTCTACAAAGCGCCCCCCTCGTCAGTCGCCCACCCGCTGCCTGCCTGCTCCAGCCCCCCACCCAGCTCCCTGGTCTGCCGGCCTTTATTGATGCCGGCCTACCCAGAGAGCCATAACGAGGTTCAGACCTCCACTGGTCTCCGGAGGCCTCATTATCCAGGAGGAAAAAATGTGCTAGAAAAAGGGAGGAGGGAGGAGGGCGAAGGGCAGAGATTGAGGCTTTCCAGGAATCAGGCAGAAAAGCTGGCCTCGGCTGCACCCTTGCCCCTTCTGTGGTGAGAGCTACAGAAACAGAGCTGCTGGTGCAGGCACTGCCAGGCCAAGGCAGGCCCTGGATCGCTCCTCTGCTTTCTGAGGGTTCACCTCTGAGCACCAGCACAAGGTAGATGGTCAGGGCCAAGGTTCCGCGCCAGCTACTGTCACATTTGTCCCCAGCATAAGAGAGTGAGAGATGACAGCTGACATTTAATGGATGCCTGCTGTGAATCGAGCATTGGATCAGACACCTTCCAGCCTTGATTTGCGCGCACACGCACACACACACACACACCCCTATGAGGTGGGAATTAGACTCCATTTTTTCAGTAGAGGAAATGGAATCTCAGAGGTAGAAGCCACTTGCCTACGAGGAACTGAAGAGGGACCCAGGTCAGCCTGATGCTGCCGTGTACTCCTCCAGCTACCCCTGCAGCCTCTACAATGATAATAATAAAGGCAAAATGTTTACGATCGCTTACCAGCCGGTAAATAATTCACAACTGGCTCTCCACAAAAGTACACCCTCTGATTCGTAGCACCAGCCAATTCCTGAGGCGTAAATGTTCTCACCATAGCAGATTTCTGGGTTTCCAAGTGGCTGTCACTCAACACAAGTAGCAAGAGATCAGCACTGTTGCCTCTCGTAAGCCCACGCAAGCCTGCTGCGACCCACCACTGGCACTTACCGCGTGACAGGCTCTGTCTTAAGCACTTTACGTGTATTGGCACGTGTGACGAGAATGAGGACCACCTAGATGAGCGGAATACCAACACTGAGATCACGTGCAGGACTGGTGACCTTCGTGAAGGCGGGCCCGTGCTCACCTTATTTACCCTGGTGCACCCCTCAAGCGCCCAGCACACAGTAGATGCTCCCTCAGTGTTTATGGTGGCTGAGTCAGGTGACCGGGGTTCAACACCTGCTTGCTATACGTGCCAGAGTTGCCCCATCTGTGAAACAAGAGCTAGACTGAAACCAAGAGTCACAAACTCACACACCGACGGGAACCAGACAGGTGCGATAAGCGGGTGAAGCAGGCCAAGCATGTGATTTTGTATCTTAAATACTGAGGCATAGTATTGGGTTGGCCAAAAACCTTGTTCGGGTTTTTCCGTAAGGTGTTACGGAAAAACCCAAACAAAATTTTTGGCCAACCCATAGCAGTAGCAGTAGCAGTAGTATTTACTATAAATACATCAGACAGACACAGAGGGACTTAAAGAAAATAAAACAACTGCCCATGTGCATACTGCCCAACTTAAGAAATGAGATATTACAAATGCAGTTGACGTTTTTCCTGTTGAGATTAAGCTCACATGCTAATCTTAAGCATTAGACTTGATCAATTTTTATGTTTGTGTCCACTCGTGAAACCCAGATCAGGGTGGGGACCTTTCCAACTCCCCAGAGAGGCCTTCCCTTCTCCATGGCAGGCAGTACCCACACCACGAAGATACTGGTTTTGCTTATTTTTGAACTTCATGTTACTGGAACCTTAGAGTATATATCTGATGAAATTCTTTTTAGGCATATGTTTTACCTTCATAAAGAAAAACACTCTGTCCTTTCATTTCCTGTAAGTTCTCCCCCCTTTAAAGCCCCCTCCCACGTATGCAGTTTTGAAAGCAGTAGAGATACAAAGAAACCTTCCTCTAATCTAATAAGCAAGACAGTGCAAACTCTCAATGATAGATGGAGACACCCCTCAGGCTCAGTGCTGGAGAGACTGCAGGGAATGGTGGAGACTGTGGTCAACTGTGGAAAACACACGCTGGCTGCCAAAGGGGGAGCCTCTAGCTGAGTGGGACAGTGTGGAAATGTGGGATCAGTGTGGCCAGATTTTCCTTTTTTTCTTGAGTACAAGAAATCTGGAGTTTTTAAAATAAGAAGTCTCTCATGTTTTATATATTGGCAACTGATTCTGACTTTTGTTAAAGCACTCTGTGTGCCAAACCCAACATTTCTGTGGGTTGTACAGCCCGGAAGCTGTTGGCTTACAACCTCTGGATGAGACAGACTCTTCCAGGCTGGACATCCAGGATCTGGGGGGCAGCTTCTCTTCCATCAGCTCCTAAGGAGCACCTCCAATCTGCCCTGCACTGCCCCCGCTCAGGGTGCCGAGAAAGCTTCCCAACAGGAAGTGCCACTCACAACCTCAGAGGCTTATCGTGCCTCTAGGTAGCTGGGATCCTGGCTTTTTGAAGAGCTTCTGAAAAAGGGGATGGAAGGAGGAAAGAAAAGAAGGGAAGAGGGCTTCCCTGGTGGCGCAGTGGTTAGGAATCCTCCTGCCAGTGCAGGGGACACGGGATCGAGCCCTGGTCCGGGAGGATCCCACATGCCGCGGAGCAACTAAGTCCGTGCGCCACAGCTGCTGAGGCCTGCGCTCTAGAGCCCGCGAGCCACAAGTACTGAAGCCCGCATGCCTAGAACCTGTGCTCCGCAACAAGAGAAGCCGCCGCATTGAGAAGCCTGCGCCCCGCAACAAAGAGTAGCCCCCGCTCACCGCGACTAGAGAAAGCCCACGTGCAGCAGCGAAGACCCAGTGCAGCCAAAAATTAAATAAATGAATAAATAAATAAATTTATTTTTAAAAAAAAGAGAAGAAGAAAGGGAAGGAGGGAGAAGGAGGAAGAGAGGGAATTAAGGAAAGGAGAGGAACGTACCATTTATTGACTCTCTGTGACATGTAGGCACTGTTTGTGAGGCAGTTCCATATATACCCTTCACTGTATCTTCACACTCCAAGGAGATAAGTATTGTCACCATTTTACAGATGAAGAAGCTGAGGTTCTGAGAGCTTGTCACTGCCCAGTTCACATAACTCATGTGATTGAATCAGGGTTAGAACCCAGGGCTAATTCTCATGCATTCAGTTCCCCAAGGAAACTGCCTTACACGTTATACATAATAAACATACGCAGTACATCAGACAAAGGATGTG